AAGAACAAGTGATTACATTTTTTTTACAAATTAACAAAGTAAAATTTACAGTAAAAATTGTTGTAAAATAAAGAAAAAGTACCTTTTTGTTGTTGTTTTTGTTGTTACAAAAAGAAAAAAAAAAGTGTTTGACAAAGATACAAAATTTTTTATGGTCATTTGGCATTTGATTGAATTTGACCTGAAATTGATTGATAAATTATCGTTCGTAATTTGGGTTATTCATACTGAATCGTTACTTTTGCTGTTGATCACTGTTGTCTAATCCAAAAACTGTTTTGCCGATTGATCTATGGTATTGGTATTGGTATTGGTTGGTTGGTTATTATTGTTGCTGTCAAAACAGTTTTCAAAAATTACTCCACTTTTTTTTTTCGTTTTTTTTTGTTCAACAATTTGTGCCTAATATAGCATAAATTAAAAACTTTTTTTATTGTTTTTTTTTCCTGTATAAAAGTATATGTTATAGCCTAAAAAATTATTAGTTTTTTTGTTCAATTATCAGCTGAAAAAATCATTGTTATCTGATAACCGTATCAAAAAAAAAAAAACTGAAAATGATTACGGTGCAAATTATTTTCCAAATGAATGCTTTTTCCTTTTTTTTCGCACTTAACAGTAATCTATTGATAATTGGTAAAAAGTTAAAAAAGAAAAGCATCATTTGCTACACTGATACAGTGATCATCTTTCTTTTTTTTTCAGCTAATTTTTAAACTTTTTTCTGTTTGTATTTCAAAAAAAAAAAAAAAGCTATAAAAGAAGAAAAAACAGAATCTACTTGATGGAGAATAATTTTTTTTATACTGCTAGAAACTTATAAATTGCTACTTTTGCTCAAAACTGAGGTTTATGGATAAACGCTTGAAGAATTAGAACAATATTTCAATTGTAAATCAAACTTATAAATTAGATACGATGAATTATAGTTGATGTTACTCTGTTCAGAGGTTTTAAAACAATTCCTTCACATAAAAACCGTCTGTTCATAGATTTTAAAACAATTTCTCCACATAAAAACCCATTATAATTTTATCATTTTTTTTAACTTTCATTATTTATAGAAAAAAAACAATGTTAAGAAGTTTTATTGTTTTACAACTATTGCTATTGGTATCACCAGCATATGGTGCCGATAAATGTCCACCAATTTTTGGTGAATTTGAATGCCCATTAAACTACAATTGTGTTGATAGTACATGCGCCTCCTCAGATGGTATTGCTGCTCCATGGGAATGCGATAAAGTTACTTGTCCAGAAAGTAAACGTTGTTTTAAGGTATCATCTTTTTTTTGAAAACAATTAATTCATTCTGCTTTAAAATATACATATCAATATTTGGTTATAGTTTTATAAGGAAAAGCACAAACAATTTTTCTTGCAGGGACGTTGTTATGAGGCAAAAGGATTGGTTTGTAATCGAAATGTTATTGTTGCAAATATGTCAGCAAAATCGATCATTTCTGATTGTGGTATGCAAGGCAAATGTGTTAACGGACGTTGCGTAGAAGACAGTACGCATTAGCATTAAATCTGATGATAAGGTTTTTAGATTTGTGCTATTGACGTTGCACAAGTAAAGCAAAAATTTCAGTGTTTAATCGACAAATAATTACTATCTTACAGAATTGTTTAGGATGTATTGGAGTAATCTGTAAACTGAACGAAATTTGTCGTGACGGCACCTGTGTTGAAATGGTAAATAAATTCTGCATCAACGATTTTGACTGTGGTCCAAACTTAGATTGTGTTTCCAATAAGTGTGTTTATTTTGAAAAAGCGTTACCCTGTCACTGCGATCCAGCAGAAACCTGTCAACAGGGAAGATGTTATCCGGATTCAAGTAACATTTCAATATTTTCACATTGATCTTTTTTTTTCTTCTAAATTTTCTGTGCTAATTTTTTTTTTCTTTTATTCAACACACTTACGTAAATATGTCTTTTTTATCGTGGTTTTGAATCTTTGAAGAACCAAAGTTGTTTCAGAAAAAATAATTTCGCAAAGGTCAGTAATGTTTAGTTCCGAAACTTCTTTTTAGAACTCAAGTTCTTTTTTTTTTTTGTGCACTAAGATGGCTTATTTCGTCGTGTTTGTTTCTGCTGTGGTAAAAAACGATGTGCTTTTACAGAATGTGCTCATATAACCTGCGGAGAAGGTCAGTTATGCAGCGACGGGATTTGCATTTCAGCTATTGGACGAGACTGTTCGCAGGAGGAATGTCAGGGCGGAACTGTATGTATCCAGGGGCACTGTGCACTTGACGAATGTAAGAATCGATGTCCTGTAGATTACGCTTGTAGACGAGGACAGTGCAGACATTTACAAGGTCTAATTTGTCAAACAGAATGTCCGTCACCCTACGAATGTGTTGATGGACTTTGCACTCGCGACGGTAAGGCTTTTCGTAGAAAATGAAAATAGAAACCAAAATTTGTTGTGGAAAAAAAAAAAAAGAAAAACAGATAAAGATGTTGGTTAGTTTCGAAAACATATACACACATTGATACTGCTGTTGAGCAGAAAGTAGTCAGAGAGCAATGTTCATATGATGAGTAAAACTTTTAGCATAATCTAAGATTTGAATGTGACTTTCTGTTATGCCTAATTTTCTTCTCCAGTTAATTACCAAAAAAAGTATTCACTCTCAAGAAAGTAGTAAATTAGTTATATATATATATATATATATATATATATATATATATGATCTTAAAGCAGTCAGTTTTATTTTTTATAGACTGTTCGCAAAAAATATGTCAAGTTGGTGAAGTTTGTGAAAATGGTTTTTGTATTCGAGTCGAAGGTCGTCTTTGTTCGTTGGCAGTTCGAGATTGTGGAGAAGGTTTTGAGTGTGAATCAAATATATGCCGAGACAAGGTATTATTGTAGCCTAATTATGCATTACTTTTCTGATTCCTTACTCTTTTTAGTTGCTTGACCACAAGTAGAGCTTTGGAGGTTAACAATTGTCTTTTGGAACAAAAACTTTGAATCACTGATCACTAATGCATATTAATATTTCATGAATTTTAGAAAAAAAAAAGTTTAACCAGAATATTTTCTGTGTTATTTCTGGATAAAAGCAAAAAAACAATAGAACCTAAGTAACAGTATAACAGATAAAAAGCAGAAATAATTGTTGGTATATATACAGGTATTGCAACAATTGATCAAATGATACCTCAGAACCTGTGACCGGAAATAATAGAATTTACTGTTATCAACAAGAACTCATCTTCATTGCTTGATCGAAAAAAAAAGAGGAAGATGAATAAGAATTATAGTAATACTGTTTATATGTAATATATTATAACCAACAAAGTATATGTATGTGTGCAAGCAAAATAAAACGACTGCCAAGTTGTTAACAACACTAAAACTATGGTTCAAAAAAAAGAGAGGAGAAAAAAGAGGCAATAAGAAAATTGAATGAATTTTGTAATGTCTTAGGCTTTGGACAGATATTTTTTCAATGTTTTATTCTGTATTAGAAATTTTTCTCCTCATTTTTCTCTTTTAAAATTTAATTCCCTCAAAATGAGATAATTTTATTTG